TGAGGTGAGTTGAGGTGAGGTGAGTTGAGGTGAGGTGAGGTGAGTTGAGGTGAGTTGAGGTGAGTTGAGGTGAGGTGAGGTGAGTTGAGGTGAGTTGAGGTGAGTTGAGGTGAGTTGAGGTGAGTTGAGGTGAGTTGAGGTGAGTTGAGGTGAGTTGAGGTGAGTTGAGGTGAGGTGAGGTGAGTTGAGGTGAGGTGAGGTGAGTTGAGGTGAGGTGAGGTGAGTTGAGGTGAGTTGAGGTGAGGTGAGGTGAGTTGAGGTGAGGTGAGGTGAGTTGAGGTGAGTTGAGGTGAGGTGAGGTGAGTTGAGGTGAGTTGAGGTGAGTTGAGGTGAGTTGAGGTGAGGTGAGTTGAGTTGAGGTGAGTTGAGGTGAGGTGAGTTGAGTTGAGTTGAGGTGAGTTGAGGTGAGTTGAGGTGAGTTGAGGTGAGTTGAGGTGAGTTGAGGTGAGTTGAGGTGAGTTGAGGTGAGTTGAGGTGAGGTGAGGTGAGTTGAGGTGAGGTGAGGTGAGGTGAGGTGAGGTGAGGTGAGTTGAGGTGAGTTGAGGTGAGTTGAGGTGAGGTGAGGTGAGTTGAGGTGAGTTGAGGTGAGTTGAGGTGAGGTGAGGTGAGTTGAGGTGAGTTGAGGTGAGTTGAGGTGAGTTGAGGTGAGTTGAGGTGAGTTGAGGTGAGTTGAGGTGAGTTGAGGTGAGTTGAGGTGAGTTGAGGTGAGTTGAGGTGAGTTGAGGTGAGGTGAGGTGAGGTGAGGTGAGTTGAGGTGAGTTGAGGTGAGGTGAGGTGAGGTGAGGTGAGGTGAGGTGAGGTGAGGTGAGGTGAGGTGAGTTGAGTTGAGTTGAGGTGAGTTGAGTTGAGGTGAGGTGAGTTGAGTTGAGGTGAGGTGAGGTGAGGTGAGGTGAGTTGAGTTGAGGTGAGGTGAGTTGAGGTGAGGTGAGGTGAGGTGAGGTGAGGTGAGGTGAGGTGAGTTGAGGTGAGGTGAGGTGAGGTGAGGTGAGGTGAGGTGAGGTGAGTTGAGGTGAGGTGAGGTGAGGTGAGGTGAGGTGAGTTGAGGTGAGTTGAGGTGAGGTGAGGTGAGGTGAGTTGAGTTGAGTTGAGGTGAGGTGAGGTGAGGTGAGGTGAGTTGAGTTGAGGTGAGGTGAGGTGAGGTGAGGTGAGGTGAGGTGAGGTGAGGTGAGGTGAGGTGAGGTGAGTTGAGGTGAGGTGAGTTGAGTTGAGGTGAGGTGAGGTGAGTTGAGGTGAGGTGAGGTGAGTTGAGGTGAGGTGAGGTAAGGTGAGGTGAGGTAAGGTGAGGTGAGTTGAGTTGAGTTGAGGTGAGTTGAGGTGAGGTGAGGTGAGGTGAGGTGAGGTGAGTTGAGGTGAGGTGAGTTGAGTTGAGGTGAGGTGAGGTGAGGTGAGGTGAGGTGAGGTGAGTGGAGGTGAGGTGAGGTGAGGTGAGGTGAGGTGAGGTGAGGTGAGGTGAAGTGAGGTGAGTTGAGGTGAGTTGAGGTGAGGTGAGGTGAGTTGAGGTGAGGTGAGGTGAGTTGAGGTGAGGTGAGGTGAGTTGAGGTGAGGTGAGGTGAGTTGAGGTGAGGTGAGTTGAGGTGAGGTGAGTTGAGGTGAGGTGAGGTGAGGTGAGGTGAGGTGAGGTGAGGTGAGTTGAGGTGAGGTGAGTTGAGGTGAGGTGAGGTGAGGTGAGGTGAGGTAAGGTGAGGTGAGGTAAGGTGAGGTGAGGTGAGGTGAGGTGAGGTGAGGTGAGGTGAGGTGAGGTGAGGTGACGTGAGGTGAGGTGAGGTGAGGTGAGTTGAGGTGAGGTGAGGTGAGTTGAGGTGAGGTGAGGTGAGGTGAGGTGAGGTGAGGTGAGGTGAGGTGAGGTGAGGTGAGGTGAGTTGAGGTGAGGTGAGGTGAGGTGAGGTGAGGTGAGGTGAGGTGAGTTGAGGTGAGGTGAGGTGAGGTGAGGTGAGGTGAGGTGAGGTGAGGTGAGGTGAGGTGAGGTGAGTTGAGTTGACTTGAGGTGAGGTGAGGTGAGTTGAGGTGAGGTGAGGTGAGTTGAGGTGAGGTGAGTTGAGGTGAGGTGAGTTGAGGTGAGGTGAGGTGAGGTGAGGTGAGGTGAGGTGAGGTGAGTTGAGGTGAGGTGAGGTGAGGTGAGGTGAGGTGAGGTGAGGTGAGGTGAGTTGAGGTGAGTTGAGTTGAGTTGAGGTGAGTTGAGGTGAGGTGAGTTGAGGTGAGGTGAGGTGAGTTGAGGTGAGGTGAGTTGAGGTGAGGTGAGTTGAGGTGAGGTGAGGTGAGGTGAGGTGAGGTGAGGTGAGGTGAGGTGAGGTGAGGTGAGGTGAGGTGAGTTGAGGTGAGGTGAGGTGAGGTGAGGTGAGGTGAGGTGAGGTGAGGTGAGGTGAGTTGAGTTGTGTTGAGGTGAGGTGAGTTGAGGTGAGGTGAGTTGAGGTGAGGTGAGTTGAGGTGAGGTGAGTTGAGGTGAGGTGAGGTGAGTTGAGGTGAGGTGAGTTGAGGTGAGGTGAGTTGAGGTGAGGTGAGGTGAGTTGAGGTGAGGTGAGGTGAGTTGAGGTGAGGTGAGTTGAGGTGAGGTGAGGTGAGTTGAGGTGAGGTGAGTTGAGGTGAGGTGAGGTGAGTTGAGGTGAGGTGAGGTGAGTTGAGGTGAGGTGAGTTGAGGTGAGGTGAGGTGAGTTGAGGTGAGGTGAGTTGAGGTGAGGTGAGTTGAGGTGAGGTGAGGTGAGTTGAGGTGAGGTGAGGTGAGTTGAGGTGAGGTGAGGTGAGGTGAGTTGAGGTGAGGTGAGGTGAGGTGAGGTGAGGTGAGGTGAGGTGAGGTGAGTTGAGGTGAGTTGAGTTGAGTTGAGGTGAGGTGAGGTGAGTTGAGGTGAGGTGAGTTGAGGTGAGGTGAGTTGAGGTGAGGTGAGGTGAGTTGAGGTGAGGTGAGGTAAGTTGAGGTGAGGTGAGGTGAGGTGAGGTGAGGTGAGGTGAGGTGAGTTGAGGTGAGTTGAGGTGAGGTGAGGTGAGGTGAGGTGAGGTGAGTTGAGGTGAGGTGAGGTGCGGTGAGGTGAGTTGAGGTGAGGTGAGTTGAGGTGAGTTGAGGTGAGGTGAGGTGAGTTGAGGTGAGGTGAGGTGAGGTGAGGTGAGGTGAGTTGAGGTGAGGTGAGGTGAGGTGAGGTGAGGTGAGTTGAGGTGAGGTGAGTTGAGGTGAGGTGAGCTGAGGTGAGGTGAGGTGAGGTGAGGTGAGGTGAGGTGAGGTGAGTTGAGGTGATGTGAGGTGAGGTGAGGTGAGGTGAGTTGAGGTGAGGTGAGGTGAGGTGAGGTGAGGTGAGTTGAGGTGAGGTGAGGTGAGGTGAGGTGAGGTGAGGTGAGTTGAGGTGAGGTGAGGTGAGGTGAGGTGAGTTGAGGTGAGGTGAGTTGAGGTGAGTTGAGGTGAGGTGAGGTGAGTTGAGGTGAGGTGAGTTGAGGTGAGTTGAGGTGAGGTGAGGTGAGTTGAGGTGAGGTGAGGTGAGTTGAGGTGAGGTGAGGTGAGGTGAGGTGAGTTGAGGTGAGGTGAGGTGAGTTGAGGTGAGGTGAGTTGAGGTGAGGTGAGTTGAGGTGAGGTGAGGTGAGGTGAGGTGAGGTGAGGTGAGGTGAGTTGAGGTGAGGTGAGGTGAGGTGAGGTGAGGTGAGTTGAGGTGAGGTGAGTTGAGGTGAGGTGAGGTGAGGTGAGGTGAGGTGAGGTGAGGTGAGTTGAGGTGAGGTGAGTTGAGGTGAGGTGAGGTGAGGTGAGGTGAGGTGAGGTGAGGTGAGGTGAGGTGAGGTGAGTGAGGTGAGGTGAGTTGAGGTGAGGTGAGTGAGGTGAGGTGAGGTGAGTTGAGGTGAGGTGAGGTGAGGTGAGGTGAGGTGAGGTGAGGTGAGGTGAGGTGAGGTGAGGTGAGGTGAGGTGAGGTGAGGTGAGGTGAGGTGAGGTGAGGTGAGGTGAGGTGAGTTGAGGTGAGGTGAGGTGAGGTGAGGTGAGGTGAGGTGAGTTGAGGTGAGGTGAGTTGAGGTGAGGTGAGGTGAGGTGAGGTGAGGTGAGGTGAGGTGAGGTGAGTTGAGGTGAGGTGAGTTGAGGTGAGGTGAGTTGAGGTGAGGTGAGGTGAGGTGAGGTGAGGTGAGTTGAGGTGAGGTGAGTTGAGGTGAGGTGAGGTGAGGTGAGGTGAGGTGAGGTGAGGTGAGTTGAGGTGAGGTGAGGTGAGGTGAGGTGAGGTGAGGTGAGTTGAGGTGAGGTGAGGTGAGGTGAGGTGAGGTGAGTTGAGTTGAGGTGAGGTGAGTTGAGGTGAGGTGAGGTGAGGTGAGGTGAGGTGAGGTGAGTTGAGGTGAGGTGAGGTGAGTTGAGGTGAGGTGAGTTGAGGTGAGGTGAGGTGAGTTGAGGTGAGGTGAGTTGAGGTGAGGTGAGGTGAGGCAGAACAGTGGCACGTGGAGAGTGGGGAGCAGCGACGCTATTGCATAGCGCATTTGTGCCATCGCAAGGCGTGAGTCGGGTGGGGGGGGGGAGGAGGAGGAGAAGGTGAGCGTTGCACCCACGAGCTCATTGTGGGATGGGATGGGAAGACATGCGTGTGAGGTGCATTCATGTTAGTGCAAGGCGCGTGGGTGGGGGTAGGGAGGGGAGGAAGAAGGGCGAGGGGGTTGTACCCGCAACAACCTCATTGTGAGACGACATGCGTGCCAGGCAGAGCAGTGGCGCCAAGAGAAGGGGGAGTGAGTGAGTGGGGTGCCATTGCAAGGTGTGAGTGGGGTGGAGAGAAGAAGGGCGAGGGGGGGTTGTACCCACGACCTCATTGTGGGACGACATGCGTGCGAGGTGCTTTCATGTCATTGCAAGGCGCATGGGTGGGGGGGTGAGTGGAGTGGGGGGGAAAGGTTGAGGGTTGTACCCACAACCTCATTGTCGGACGACATGCGTGCCAGGCAGAGCAGTGGCGCTAGGAGAGATGCCATTGGGATAGTGAGCCCCACGTAGAACTGCGGTGTGATGGAAAGAGGGGGATGAGGGGGGATGGTGGGATGTCCTTTGACTCGACTCAGAAGTCAGCTCGAGGCAGCGCAGAGCACAGAGCAGCGGCGCCAAGAGAGACGCCATTGGGAGAGTCAACCCCACGTAGAACTGCGGTGTGATGGAAAGAGGGGGATGAGGGGGGTGATGGGATGATCGGGAGAGTGAGAGGTTGGGTGAAGAGAGCAGTGGCGCCAAGAGAGACGCCATGGGGAGAGTCAACCTTACATAGAACTGCGGTGAGAAAGGGGGATATAGAGGGAAAGGGGATGGGAGGGGGGTGATGGTATGATGGAACCATGGGGAAGATGAAGGTTTGGGTGAATCCTACGACGAGAGTTTCTGTGACAGAGCAGCGGCACCAGAAGTGATGGCATAGGGAGGATCGGGCCCAAAGGAACTGCGGTGGAGAGAGGGGGATTCATAACCGCATGAGGGGGATTTGGTACCAAATGAGTGTTGGAATGGATGGATGGATCCATGCAACCCATCACCATGTATGCAGATAATGCAACGAAGAAGGCCAAGTAAAACGGCAATGCAGATTATTCAAATAAGAGAATCGGAAATAACAAATAAAGAGGGTGGAAGGAGAGGGAGGTAGGGAGGGGAGTGAGTGGCGCTTACAGGAGTGCGGAGCAGCACAATCTTCACTGTGTAGAAGGCCTTGTGGATGATGGATGGCAGGGCGGCGGACTGACAAACTACCTTTTGAGTCGACTCATTAGTCATCTCGCTTACAGCGACACAGAGCAGCGCTTACAGGAGTGCGGAGCAGCACAATCTTCACCGTATAGAAGGCCTTGTGGATGATGGATGGCAGGGCGGCGGATTGGAAAACTGTCATTGCCTCGGGAGCGGTCGCTGGGAGGGCAGGCGGGGAAGTGGGGAGGAGCGGGTGAAGGCAGGCATGAGAGCAGCAGCAGCACGATCTGCAGTGTGTAGAATGCCTTGTGGATGACAGGTGGCAGGTCAGCAGACTGAAAAACCGCCATGGCCTCGCGGGCGGTCCCTGGGAAGGGAAGGAGGTGGGGAAGTGGGGAGGAGCGGGGGAAGGCAGGCACGGGAGCAGCACGATCTGCAGTGTGTAGAATGCCTGGTGGACCACAGATGGCAGGGCAGCGGACTTCAACACTGTTGCCTCGGAAGCAGTCGTTGCGAGAGGAGGAAGGGGAGATGATAATGTACGTTAGGGGAGGGCAGAGGGCAAACGGGGATGAAGAGGCGGAGGAAGAGGGGGTGGGGAAGATGAAAGGGCCTTCAGGTCAGTGGACTGAAACACGGCCATTTCCTCATTGGCAGTCGCTGGGAGAGGAAGCGTGGGAGAGGGGGGACATGTGCGGGAGACTGAAACAGGGAGGGCTGGGTGCATCAACAAGAGCGTTGCAGGGGACTGAAAGGCGGACATAAGTGGTTGGTAGAAACTTTGTAGGACTTCACCTATGGAGAGTGCGAGGAGAGCGAACGGCGACAGCCCCAGCAACAGTGGCTCAGCAAAGAGCACCTTCATTTTCCTTCCATTTCACTCACGCCCTTCATCCTCCGTATCATTTCACAAGCTCCCTTGATTCTCCTGCTCTCTCCCGGCTCACCAATGGAGAGCGCCAGGAGAGTGAAGGCGGACAGCCCCAGCAGGAGAGGCTGCAGCAGCTCCAGCAGCAAGTATCTATCCAGAACCTTCAACCCCTCCCACCACTGCTGCACCGTTACAGTCACTCTCCTTACAGGCACGCTCGCCATAATCTCCCCCTGCAGAACCACCGCTTCGTCCTGTAACAACCGCCCTTTTCGCAAAAGGTTTCGCACAGCAGGCTTTCTGAGAAGTTGCCTTCGCAACCGCTTCTGTTTCCTGGCCAGATTCGCTAGGTTCTGCTGCTGTCGATCAACGGCCAGGATTTGAAGCCTCGCAGTGGCGTCCATTAGGGTTTGCATCTTCGGTCCGACGGCCATCCGACTTCGAATCCTCCAAGGGACTTTCTCGGGTAAGATGTTTGGACGGCTTAGATTCGCCGATTCCTGGTGTCCAGACGCACTCCGTTGCATCCTGGCCATAGGATTATTCGTCATGTCCGGCGGCACAGCTTCCGAGTTTGAACGATACTCGTCCTCCGAGCGTTCTGCATGAGCCCTACTAGGTCTGTCACTGCTTTGGGTCGACTCAAATGAACGATACTCGTCCTCTGTGCGTTCTGTATGGACCCTACTAGGCCTCTCATTTTCGTCGTCTCCTTTCGCCCATTCCTCTCTTCCCGCAATCGCTCGGCAATACCAATGCTGCTGTGCGCGCGAGATCCGCTCACGGACGTCGTCGCAGTCGAAACAGCCGCGGCCTTTCGGTGATAATCGCCATGATGATTGACGACGGAAGGACTTTTCAAGAGAAAAATTACGTGGCGCAGGCTGGCGGTCGGGATCGTGAGAGAGGGAGAAGGAGACGGGCGTGCGGAGGAAAGACGACGATCGGGAAGGCGAAATTACTGGCGAGCTCGTTGTGGACACAACTGAAAGTGACATGCTGTCAGGGGAGTGAGCGGTGACGACGGCGCCGCTTACGGCGCGTTGATCGGTGTCTACCACTAAGCGGTGCAAGTTTTGCTAATGTGGTGCAAATTTTGCAAGATCACTCGGGGCGTATTTGCAAGATCCTGAAATTTCAAACGAGGAAAGGGGCGGGTCCGTTTAATGCGGTCAAGTACGTCAAAAACCGATAATTACGGTTGGATTCGGTGGTAACTCAGAATCGACTTCAAACGTGTCAGGTTCATCTAAACGGACCCGCTTGCTTTGCTAAATGCCGCCCAAAGATCTCGCATTTCTTTCAAAATCTTGGCAAAAGAACACGTCCTGAAGAACAAAAGGTCCCGCCAACCGGATTCGAACCAGTGACCTAAGGATTGCTAAACTACAGTCCTCCGCTCTACCAACTGAGCTATAGCAGGACGACAAGAAGGTTGAATATATATTTACAGCCTATACTTGAAAAGGAAGAAAAATAAGGAACAAAATCAAATACCGTACCACTCCCCTAAGTTAGACCCGGAGGTCTTCTATTTCAGGGGGGTCTTTAATTGGGGGGATTACGGTATACGAATTGAGACTTTAGAAGAAACCATCTGGAACAAAACAGATGCAACTTCTTTATTACTATAATACAGCGGCAGCTTCTAGCATCCAATATTTTTCACTACATGCACGCCTGTTATAGAAAGAGTTCAGTGGAGGAGATTTGCTCCCCGCGTTGCCTTAGCCTCTTTAAAAGCTCATACCCTGCCCCTTGTGTGAGCGTTCTCGACCACTTGAACATGCGCTGGTGGCATCAAGGGGGGAGAGAGGGGGAAAGGAAGCGAGGGGGGAAGGGAGTGGGAAGGAATTTGCTGCTGTCAAAAAACCCCTTAATATGCTCGTTCTCTCCAACCAATGTGTGCGACCGACCTCGACCACTAACACATGCACGGGCGGGGTGAGAGGGAGGTGGGAAAAGCAGGGATGAGTGCTCACATCACAGAATCTTGAGGCGCCCCAGATTTTGAGGCGCCTCAAAAGGTCACCGGCAGGGAGAGCGAGCGGGAGGTGGGGAGAGCAGGGATGAGTGGTCACATTATGGAAGGAGAACCATCAAGGCCATACCTCTTTAGAAGCTCTTACTGCGACCATTCCAACCCACTGAACCCACTCCACCGCACAGCAACCATTCTGCGGTACTCCACCCCACTCCACCGCACTGCACCCCACTCACCGCACTCCACCCATTTCACCGCACTGCACCCATTTCACCGCACTGCACCCGTCCCACCGCACTGCACCCGTCCCACCGCACTGCACCCATTCCACCGCACTCCACCCATTCCAGCAATCGTTCCATTCCACCGCACTCCACTGCACTGCACCCATTCCTTCCACCGCACTGCGCCCACCTGCACTCTCTCCACGCCGCGCTGCAGCTGCTCCACGGGGGCGGTGTCGAGGCGGTGGCGCAGCGAAGCGATGTCGTCCGGGTCGATGTTGATGGAGAAGGAGGAGTAGTCCAGCTCATCGCCCCCCCGCTCACACACACACACACGTGCCACCCCCCCTGTCAACCGCACTGCACCTACCTGCACTCTCTCGACGCCGCGCTGGAGTTGCTCCACGGGAGCGCTCTCAAGGCGGGAGCGCAGCGAAGCAATGTCGTCCGGATCGATGTTGATGGAGAAGGAGGAGTAGTCCAGCTCGTCGTCCCAGGGATTGTCGTGGTCCCGGAAGAACGTCACTGGGATGCACCCGGATATCAATGCCTGAAATCCCATAGAACATACACCCGGAATATACATATCATAGAAAAGGGGTTGTCATTTTCCTTATCATGTAGGAGTAGTCCACCTCGTGGCCCTAGGGGTTGCCATGCCCGCGGACGAACGCCAGTGGGATGCACCCTGCAATGAGCACCTGTATGGTTGGGGGAAGGGTTGAGGGAATGTTTGAGGGAATGTGGAAGAGTTGGGTCCAGCTCATCGGCCCAGGGGTTGTCATGACCTCGGAAGAACGTCGCTGGGATGGGATGCACCCTGAGATGAGCGTGTGGGGTGGGGTAAGGGTTGGGGAAGTGTTTGAGGGGTTATGTAAGAGTTGCGTCCAGCTCATTGCCGCCCCCAGGGGTTGTCATGCCCGCGGAAGAAAGTCACTGGGATGGCACCGAGAGATGAGCGCGTGGAGTGGGGTAAGAGGAGAGCAGGGAAGGGAAGGGGGAAAATAAGCAATTAACACTTGGATCACGAGAGGTGGACGAGTTGAGCTCATCTCACCCTAAATTATCACTTTTAAAAAATCTAGAAAATCTCCTGGCTTGACTGACTTGAATGACCCAGTTGACTGACCATCACGGACCCGCACCTTGAAGGGCCGGCCAGTCCCACACGGCACATCCACACACAACACAACGCACCTTGAAGGGGCGGCTGGTCCACTGGGAGTGCCCCGGCGGGCAGATGCAGAAGACAGCTTTTTGCCAGTCCTTGTTCGTCTGATTCTCCAGCTTGGCTGCGAAGCTCCACCCCTTGATGCGCTGCTTCTGGTACATCTGCATGGGGAGGGGAGGGGTGGGGACGGGTGGGGACGGGTGGGGAGGAGTGGGGAGGAGTGGGGAGGGGTGGGGAGGGGTGGGGAGGGGTGGGGAGGGGTGGGGTGGGGACATTGAACTCGACTCCAGGTGCGGCAGCATCTCGCCTCCCCCTTCCCCAAGCCCTTCACCACACACCCCCCACTCCAAGTGAGGCGTCCCGTGGCCCTGCTGGGCGGAAAAGGCCACTTTCCACAACCCCATCCCCACTCCCCCATCGCCACTCCCCAACCCGACACCCCCATCCCCACCCCACTCATTAGAGTCAACTCAAAAGCACACTCCAAGTGAGGCGTCCCGTGGCCCTGCTGGGCGGAAAAAGGCCACTTTCCACAACCCCATCCCCACTCCCCCATCGCCACTCCCCAACCCGACACCCCCATCCCCACCCCACTCATTAGAGTCAACTCAAAAGCACACTCCAAGTGAGGCGTCCCGTGGCCCTGCTGGGCGGAAAAAGGCCACTTTCCACAACCCCATCCCCACTCCCCCATCGCCACTCCCCAACCCGACACCCCCATCCCCACCCCACTCATTAGAGTCAACTCAAAAGCACACTCCAAGTGAGGCGTCCCGTGGCCCTGCTGGGCGGAAAAGGCCACTTTCCACAACCCCATCCCCACTCCCCCATCGCCACTCCCCAACCCGACTCCCCCATCCCCACCCCACTCATTAGAGTCAACTCAAAAGCACACTCCAAGTGAGGCGTCCCGTGGCTCTGCTGAGGGGGCTTTTGAGGCGCCTCAAACGTAGACCTTGAACCTTCAGCTCAGCACACACTCCCCACTCAAGGGGCACCACTTGGAGGTGGGAGACATAACGAGGCTGCGGCTTCTGTAGATAGCAAACGTTTGTGTTCAGAACTCTCAGCACAGACTCCCCACTCCAAGCGAGGCGTTCAGTGGCCATGCTGGGCAGAAAAGGCCACTCCCCACACCCCCAACCAACCCCAGTCCATAACCCCACTCCCCAACCCCACTTTCTTTCCCCTCCCACCACTCGCACAGCGAGCAGCTCACGGCGTAAGTCATGGCCGTGGTGAAAGAAGAGTTTTGAGACGGAGCTCACGTCTCAAAACTCTTCTTTTTTCACGGAGCAGCTCAGGGCGTAAGTCATGGCCGTGGTGCATGAGGTGCGTCCAGAGGCCCTGCTGGTCTACCCACCACCCAACCCCAGCCCCCAACTCCCAACCCCTCAAAACCCCAACTCCCCAACCCCCAACTCGCCACACCCACCCAATCCCCACACCCACCCAATCCCCACACCCACCCAATCCCCACACCCACCCAATCCCCACACCCACTCCCCCACATACACTGAGCAGCTCGGGCCGTAATTCGTGGCCGTGGTGCATGAGATGAGAGACGTCCTGAGGCCCTGCTTGTCTTGTCTACCCACCAAATCCTACCTTCTAC